GGTCCCGGAGGCGGCCGCGTCCCGCCGAGCAAGCTTGGAACCGAAAAGCCGCGGCAGTGGGTTATGAACGTGTCTTTAGTCCTTGGTTGCTAAATAACTTCCACTTTCTCGTAATGACAAGTTTCCGGTTTCTGGCTGTGCTGCTTTACTGTCAAAATATTCTTTGGCATCCACAAAACTGTTTTGACTGATTTGTTTGACAATTGCAAGGTTTTGCTGTTTAAAGTGATGGGTTTAACCAGTTGCAGAAGTGTCCCAGGTTTCTTTTTTTTTTTTTATATTTTTTTAAACATTTTTTATTTTTAAAAAACAACAACAACAAAAGTTTCAGTGAATTCCTTTTTTTTTTGTTCCCTGAGCTCACACTGGGGTCACTCCAATAAAACACGTAGCACGACTTAACTGTGACCTTTGAAGCCAAAACCGAAGTAATGGTGCAATTAAGTGCAAACATGGAAATTCGCCTGACTCATAGGTAACATGGGCTTTTAAACAACATTTAAGGCTTACTGGGGACATTTTAATGCATTAAATTATTGAAATATTTATAATGTCAGCTTCTGTGAATCACCCTCCCACAACGAGTCAACAGCTTGTAACCAGGATTTAAGGAAAAATAAAAAAAAAAAAAAAAAGAGGATAGAGAGGAAAAAATTCCTCATTGCCATTGTAGCGTTTAGGAGGAAAACAAAATGGTCAAGGCAACCGTTTTCATTTCCTCTCCGCGATGGTGCATTTAGCCTCGGGGCCAAAGACATTGTTGTGCAAAAGGGGATTCACATGCACAGCCCCAGCGCGCTGGGACCGCTTTGGCCATCGGAGATACGCGCTGACATACCAACTTCACTCAACCTCACGGGGCCAAAGCAACCAAGACCGGCCCGCCCCGCTCGGGTATTTTTCAGGAATCTTTTCTCCTCCATCCTTCCCCACGTTCCCAGTTGGCAAAAGCTAATCGATTAACCTGAGAAAATCACTTCAGCTTTTCAAAGGACCTCGGTGGGCTCCAGGATTTCCAGTGTGTCACCAAGCCTTCCAGCCGCTCGGGAGGAGGGTCCGGAGCGAGCCCGGCTCCGA